TCGCTCGATGAAATCAAGGGACATAACTCAAAATTCGAGAGTAATCTTTGAGGGAATTCGGAATCAGGCAATAAGGTATAACAAGGCAATAGATTCCGAGGCACATAGTCTTCACATGACTTCGAACATTCATGCCATATAGGAGACAATTGGTTTCGCATTTCTTTGGAATTTCAGATGTGGTCCCTGTGGGATCACTTGGTCCAAGAGTCGAAAATAGATCGAAGCAAATTGAATATAAGAGCCTACCCATTATAGACACAACAGCGAAACCCATATTCGGTCTACGGTGTTTTTGATAAGAATGTTACTAGAGAAGAAAAATACAACCATACAATATAGAGAGATGAAGAGAGAACAATAGGGCCCTGAGGAACTACAACTACACCAATCCAAGTAATCAAAAACAAAAATCCCAAGTCATTGCATTTCCAATGTGCTCCATGAGATATCCCAATTACAGTTCCATCCATCCCATACCCCGTACACAAAACAAAAAGGCATTGCAGGTCATCACAAAGAAAAAAATAAGAGTACCTACTCGAAGACCCGATATCCAAGATCTCAAATCTGCCTCTCCTCAATGCATCCGACCCAGCGACCGGCGCCGAGTAAAAGAGATTGAAGGAAAGACCATAGAATCAAAGTCCGAGTGGAAAGAGAAAAAAAGAATAAAAAATATCAAAGACCTCGGTCTTAGTTTTCAGTCCGACCCTGTTCGGCTGTGGATTGTTCGTAGCTCTTCTTGCCGAGCTTGGCGAACAGCGACTGGGGCTTGCCGGCACTGTAGAATATGAATTAGCTTGAGTCTAACGTATAGCGGATGAAATCACATACTTCTTAAACCGCTTGCCCTTGATATCGCTCAACTTCTTTGTGCAGGGGCTCATGATATCGTCCGAGGGGGAGACGTAGGAGGTTGGTTGTCTGTGATGGGTTAGTTTCTTGTATGATGGAATTATAAGAGAAAGATGGGGATACTCACTCCTCGCCTGTTACTTTGCCTTGCAGCACCTGGCGGTGGTACTCCATTGATGAGATGTCTGAACCCTTCAAGTCGGTCTTGTCACTTGCGTTCAGGTGGGTGTTGGTTGAGCGGTCGGCCAGAGGCTGAGCTTGTGTAGTTGCGTCCATTTTTATGGATATGTAGATATTTGAATGTGAGAGATGTATAGTGCGTAGAGGATTGGGAGAGGTTAAAAACAAGTCGGATAAGATGGAAAGGTTCGACGGGTGTGTTGGAGAAAAATGGGAGATTGTTGGCTGGGCAACGGAATATGACGCCACATATGAACTTGGGATATTCCAAGGTGACTAGACTACATATTACAGGCTTTGTTTATTGAATGTCTGGGGTTTGCAAGGAATTCAAATCACTCTAATAATAGTCACAGTAAACATAGTAAATATAACCAGTGGGAATCATATCATCTAAACATTGATAGTACACGCAGGGTACAGTGTACAGATGCAAAGCAGTAAACATCAGTATGTAGGGTCATAAAAATACGGCTAGAGCCATTATAGCCATTAAACGATCACAGCTCACGCGAACGTGAATCATCGGTAACCAAGTCGACATCAGCCGGTGTATCCAAATCCAGGTCAGCAGGTCGCCCATTCAATACAGGCGGCGTGCTATGAGAACGAGGCTGTGGTGTCACCAGAGTAGGCAAAGACATAGACTGGGGAGAGCCAGGTTCTTCCGCTTTCTCTGTCTCCTCTACGTCTCTTTCTGTTGGGGAAGAAGAGGTAGGAGTCGGCGGGGAATAGGGCGCGGTCGGACTACCAGCGCTATTTTGGTCGGACGAGTCAGAGAGGTTTCTGCGATGGCCATTGTTCTCACGGTATGAGGACGAACTTAGGCGTGTCGACCCCGGGCTAGCCGATGGAGAGGCAAAGGGTGGAGATGAAGACCGCAGACTGTAGGACCGAGCAACCATTCTTTGAACGGCAGGGAATTCCATATAGTTGTTTCCCGACCCCCGCGAGAACAGGGCGAGGGCAAAGCAGCAGAGGACCATGATGCTCTGGATCACGGTGACTCGCTTTTGGAAAACTAGTTCGTCGGCAAGGACTCCGAGCTGCCTGCTGAGGGAGTGGACTTCTTGGTGGTACTGCATGCGCTGGTGCTCAAATTCAAGAGCAACAGACTTCCAGACGTGGTCGTATTGCTCGCGGAATTCTTTCAATTCGTTGAGAACAGTAACGTTGAGGTTTTCGAGGAAGGTGGATGTCTTTGTTAGCTGCCGCTTCTCAACCTTATTGAACGCATCACGCAAGATGCGAGATTGTTCCTCAATATAAAGGAGAGACAAGGTCGAGTTTGATTCAAGCATCTGGAGCCGCTTGTGGACAGATTTGAAGAAGGATTCTTGGGTCGTGGGGTTTGCCGATGGCGGCTGAGTGTTTGTAGGTCTCGTCGACTCTGGAGGAATGTTCTGCTCCTCTTTGGGATGGGTTGTGGCTTTCCCTGTCTCGGATGTGGTGTTCTGCTGAGCAGGCTCAGATGATATGCCTGAGGCATCCGGAGGAGTCACGGCATTTTTGGTAGGCTCACCCTGCTTTCGAGTATCCTCGGCTTTTGGCGGGACGGGTGACCCGACATTGGTCGCGGAGGGACTGCCTCCAACTGCAGCAGTAGAGTTCTGTTTCGGTGGTGGATTGGTCTGAGCCACTGTACCTGTCGTCGACGGAATCGCAACAGGCGATCCATCATTGATACCGCATATATCGTTGTGTTTCGCAAAAGGCGACACAGCCTCTAATAGAGGGTTCGGACAAACCGCATCCACTGTAAGACTAGGTTTCACAGCAGGAATGATCTTCTCGACCGGCACCTCCACAGGCTTGGTTTCCACATCTCCGGGAAGCGCATTAGCCTCACTGGCCTCCAACTCCTCAACTTCAGCGCGGTCAGAGCTCTCGCCATGCTTGTACTCTTCCATCATGGTGGTACCATGCACCCGAATTAAGCTGACAGGGCAGAAGAACTCATGTCCATAGTGCGTGAGGAACTCAATCCGAAGGTATCGAGCCCAAATAAGCGAGTTCTCTACTGCGAAAGCTTGCACCTCACGAGTATTGCGTGCCTCATAGACCCCAAGTTCTTTCCACTGGTCCGGTTTCGCAGGATACCGATCTGAGACGCTAACCCGGAATGTGTGGAAGATGGAGCTGAAGAACTCATAATTTGCAAGAACAACCGTATCAACGAGAATGTCATCGCACAGTTCCAGAATAAGAAATTTGTTCTGTGCGCGACACTCGTTGAGCATATAGCTATCTTTATTCTCAATAAGCACAGAAGACGAACCCTTGCACTCAGGATTCGTCTTTAGCACTGTAGCCGCGCAGTCAAAGGAAGCATAGTTGAACCGCTCCTTGCAAGTAGTGCCAGCATCCTTACGACGCGACGCATCTCTCTGTAGCGCACCCTTCCCGTGAACATCCCCGTCGCCTCTTCTATCCGCGTTCCCCGCCTGCCCGTCGCGCGACGGGATATGCGATCCCCAAGCGGTAGGACTAGCCTCGGGCGTCTCAGCACCGAACCCACCAAAGTCCAACTCGATCTCGGAGTCGTCGCCCAACGAGTCCAAAGCATTATTGATGCCTGTCGGCTGGCGACGGTCTTCCTTTCCAGCTGCCGCAGCACGTCTGCTCCCTCCGACATTCTCGGCTGATTGTCCGACCTTCGCTAGGTTCTGCTTCTTCCAGTCCTCGAATGAGAGGAAACTAGCACCGTCCAATAGCGAGTCCGTGTCTTGGTCCTGTTCTGCGATCTGGTCTGGGGTCGTTTTCGCTGTCTCTTCTGGTGTCCCGCTCGAGACTGCAGGTGAATTAACGACTGGATCGTTGGCTGCTGCACTTGGATCGGGTGATGCCGAAGCAAGATACATATCGCGACCCGGTCCCCAGCGCGTCTCTAGACACGGCGGCAGGTTGAAGAGCTCCGCCTCCGTCTGCCAGGTACTCTTCGTCGGACATGTTGTCACTGGTGTAGTGGGGAGAGCAGCTTGCGCGCCGTTTGGGAGTGGCTGGGCGGTCGCATTAGAGAGCGCGGTGGGGCAGAGGGCCAAAATGACTGAGGCTTGGTATATCCAGAAAGTCAATGACCGGCCTGCGGTCAGCATGCTGTCGGTCTGATGATCTGATAGTCACACTTGTATAGCTCCCTGAGTTCAGCTATGATTTCGACAGCGCTATGCGCATTGTGGCTGGGAGTAAAAGCAGTTGACTCGAGAATTTTTTTATTATTTCTAAGAGATATTGCGAAGCAAACCCAAGCTTGGCGACAAATAGCGGTCTCCAAAAGGAATGGGGATGGGCAAGAGGGACCGGTGGCATCAACGGGCTCTGACCGCCTTTCCAGGGCTCTACAAGACGATAAGACTATAACAGCTAACCTTGACTATAACATTCAATCTACTGATTTACAAAGAGCACAATTCTTCGCGGATGGTAATCAATTTTCCCTTTTGTGCCATATAACTAGTTACAGTACAACACGAAGAGAGAAAACGGCCGCGTTTCAAGTCATCCTGCTAGGCCAGATCGACTTCACGCAACTCATTCCACCTTTTCCCGGAATAATCCACGCCAACCATGTAGTTCGTATGAGAAGGTCTCCCACCAGAATCAGATATCCATCAGCGCATTCCGAACCAGCCTTCTAACCTTTTTGTGGTTTTTCGTATTCGTTGTCTCCGCCATTGTCCGTGACCCTCGGTCTGATATTGTACAGAAAGAAAGAATAAAAAAAACAGTTTGGACGAAGGGGGGTGATGTAATGCACGTGGCAATGCACCGTTGAGGGTGGACGGAAACAAACGAAACACTCAATCCGAGAACAAAGAGACATAAGACAAAGCGGAACATTAATTTATCGTGGGTAATTTTGAACTTTTTTTTCCCAACTGAATCGAAACATGCAAGCAGACATCAACATTGAGGGGGAGTATAGGGTAAAAGTAGAGTGGAAATGCGGAATGCCGAGAACCCTAGAAGTGAGTCTCATGCCACCCGCCGACGAGGTCAAGATCGTCATCGACGCTTCCATCGTCAGGTAGGAAACTTTGGGAGACATTGCTGCGCCAATCCTGTCGTTCAATCAAATGGCGACGGCGATTGTCCATGGGCGATGCGGGCTTGGTTTTGGTCTGGTGGTACCCGGAAGTGCCTCGGCCCCAATCGTGTCGCCGACTGTTCGCAACAACGCTCTTGGGACCAAACACCTCACGCGACTTGCGAGGCTTGTACTTGCGCGCTTCGTCCTCGGGTTTGTACTTGCGTCGCACCTCACCAAGCATCGACCACTTATCAGCACTAGACGGCTCGGGTGGGGAATTCCGCATGGGGCGGGGTGTGCTGCTCGACGCACTCGAGTCGCTGTCTTCGTCCAGAGAAAGATCCCCTAGTACATGAGGTTCCATCTTCAGATCCACATCTGAGCTTTGAGAGTCCTGGTTGAGAGAAGCGGAGTCCGGCTCGCGCAACTTTGGGAGGGCAGCTCCCTGGCTCTCTTGACTCCAGCTGCGAGAGTTCTGCTCCCGGCGTTGCATCACGGCCAGATCCTCATTCTCAGACTCCTCTTCGTCCCACATGTCGCACCAGCTCTTTGAGATCTTGTCGGCACCTTTGTTGTTGCCAAAGACCATCGACAAAGAAGGCAGGGGCTTTGTTGCATGAGATGGCAGTGATCCAGTGATGGAAACCGGATCAGAGCGAGGAAGACGCGGCACCTCACGCTTGCGAAGGTTGAGCAAGACGAAGGATTCACTTAGCTGAGAGTCCAAGACGGAAGCTACTGATGGAGTTTCCATATGAGACGAAAACCACGAGGATCCCGCAGCTTCGGAAGCCGGGAACAGATCCTCAGTGTAGCTTTCGTTATCCGGGATGGCAGAGAGTTGTCGAATAGCCTGGGGAGGGCTCGACTGGAGCGCCTTGGCCCATGGGAAAGAATCTCCCTGGTTGACATGGGGGCTCTGGAGGGACGGGGTGCGAAGGGGTTCGCGGTTGGCGCTAGCGGCAACCACCTCGCGATCTTCGGTGCAGAACTCATCAAGAGATTCGTCGTCGGTAGTGAAAGAGACGGCGCGGAGGATGCAATCACGCACCTCCAACAAAGACCTCTTGGTGGGATCAATGGTCAAGGCATGGGTCAGAATCTCATAAGTGTCCTGAGACATGTTGGGGAAGATGTCGAACAGCGACTGGCGATCGCGCACGTAATCCGCAAAGAGTACATCGGACTCGGTGGGGGTGACAAAGGGATTCCGAGCAAACAGAATGTTCAACAGACAGATACCCACGGACCAGATGTCGGCCTTTGCGGGAGAGTATCCTGTCATGCTCGGATCATATTGCTCGGGGGCCATGTAGCGGTCGCTGCCAACACAGGCCTCGTGACACCACGAATCTTGCGTAGCAAGACCAAAGTCGCCAAGCTTCATGGAGCCATCCTGTGTCAGGAAGATATTCTCCGGCTTGATGTCACGGTGGTACAAGCCATTGGCATGCATGAAGTCGACGGCACTAATCAGCTGAAGCATGAAATCGCGAACGTGCTCAGTCTCAAGTGGACCACGGTTGAGGCGGATGGCCTCGTATAAATCTCCATTGGCACAGTACTCCAAAACAAGATATTTATGAGTCTCGGTGTCGAATGTATGAACCAAGTTGACCAGGTTCGGATGGAAACCAAAGCGTCGGTGACACTCGAGTTCTTCGAAGCGATCGTCGTCAGAACTCGTTGAGGGGCCCTTGACTAGACGTTTGATAGCAACGTCTTGCCCTGTTTGAGTATCAGTGGCAAGGAATACTATTCCAAAAGACCCATGATTGAGGGGGGCCACAGTTCGAAAACGACCATCCAAAAGTTGGCCTTCAACGAATTCTTCTTTCGAGCAATCCATGATCGACATGTTGGCCTGATGATCCCGAGAACGACAAATGCAGAGATGAGATGAAATGGGGGAGCGGAATGTGATGCTCCAACAAAGAGATGAAGTGAAAACAAATCTATGAGCCGCTCAAAAGAACACTTTATGTGTGTTCAAAATGCGTCGGAGTGTGATAGGCAAAAAGCAACCAGGCTAATGAAGATTAAAGACAACGAAGAGAAGTATCAGGCGCGGGATCCAAGGTAAATAGGGATTGGCGAAAAGAAGAGCCGGGTGTAGTCAGGAGATTGAGGCGAAGGGAATCCTGACTTGGCTCGCAATGTCATATAAAAAAATGTACTGGTGAAAGTTGATAGACAGATGAAAAGAGGAGAGAATGATGGCGCAGTGGCGCAGTTGAATGAACCCGGACAGGGGTTGTTGATGCTAAGGAAATGGGTAAAGACCGTTATGTGCTCATTTGTATGTCGTTTTTCGTTGGTTAACGGGAAGGGGTCCCAGATGGACGACACGAATGTGTCAAGAGATGGACAAGTGTTTGAAAGTCGGCCTGATACCGGATGAATCGAAGAGAGTTGAGGTAAAGCGCTGCGTAATATCGTAATTGGAAAAGGTCAAAGATGTATAGGAGAAAAAAAAACAGGAAAGAATCCTATGAACACCGGGTCCAAGGTCGAAGGCTGTGACTCAAGTTGAATGTGTTTGAGATTAGTGAGTCATGAGAGGCCAGATAGAATTGTTCGGGCAAATTGGCAGAGCGAATTGAGGGATCCGGTAGGAGCACCCTTCTAATCCAAGCAGGAAAAGTAGAGATACTCGATGCCAGGTTGCCCCTGAGGTATGAAACTCCCGAAGTGCTCTCACAACAAGGTTCAACCGAGGAAACGTATGGTTACCCGCAACGCAGGCAACACCTTCGTGTAGATTGAAGTGACGAAGGCTGGAGGTATTGATAGCACAATGGGTATCCGACAGACCGAGATTTGGACCCTTTTATCAAGTTGATGGAAGTGAGTCACCCGAGCTCAGGGTGGACCCAGAAGACCAAGGAAAAGGGGGGCTTAGGACGGAAAGGCGAGAGGAATACTCTTTGCTCAAGAGAAATCAGGATCAGACCTTTGAGCTTGGATGTTGTCGAGATAAGAGTATAGACCGTCCAGGTTTGGTAGTGTCTTGAGGTTGATGGCAAGCAGACACGGCGATCTTGGCAACCTTGGAATCGTTGGAAGTGATAGAAAGGTGACGGATAAGTGATGGCAGAGAGAGGATCGGAGAGGGTAGAAGGGCGGACGGGGGAGATGGAATATAGGAGAACGATAAAAAAGAGATGATAGGAGAAGAAGAAGATAGATGGTATAAGGGGAGAGATAGAAGGAGCCAGGGAGAGAGAGGTGTTGTAAAGGCCGTGAGGGGAATTGGAGAGGCGAAATGATTGGCCATACAGTCTGAAACCGTAATATACCGGTCTTCCCTCGTGGGCTGTTCATCCGTGTGATCTGCACCGCCCACCTAAGTTGACTGGCACCCGAGGTCCTTGGCCCGTTTCCGTCTCCCGGGGAAACTGGTAACGTATGGAATGAATACAGGTATTGTAATGGCCCAATCGACCAGGCTCTCCAAGTTTCATGAACCTTCCAGGCATTCCTTATCCTTGGTAAAGGCGTCAAATGTCTACGTGATATTTCCAAGGTTGCCAATCCATGGTTTTCGTTGAAATCAGTTTATCTACGATAAGATGATAACGTTGAATCCCATTGTTGGCCGGTTCAATCCGAAGTTTGGGCGATCACATCATCTACTTTTCTTCAAATTTCAGATTTCAGACTTCCCGAGTTCCCAAACTTCCCAAACTTCCCAAACTTCCCAGATTTTGGTTCAGAGGGCCAGTCACAATGACGGTTGACATCAGCAGGGGGAGGTTTTGGAGTTTCGTCGGCCGAGGGCGGATCAAGGTGGCGCGCTATTCCCAATGCGTATAATTGCGCAGTCAATTCTGGGGAGACCAACCAATCAGAATACAGTATCTGGCCACTATTTACAGGCTGCATGACGCGATAGAGTGGGATGGCGTGATCTCTTCTGATTGGTTCACCCCGGATACCTACTGGCCTTTATGCTGTCCAAGGTTTTATGCGTACTATGCGCTGTGCCTATGGGAAGGTACCCTTCCGCAGGTACTCATGCATGGTGTGGACCATCCTAGACTAGCATGTTATCTACAACGTTCTTTGCCGCGCGGGATAAGACAAGATTCGATATCATCCAAGCATGCGGGGTTGATGCAAAGGCGACTATCTTCTATATCAGAAGCAATATCAAGGGATATGGATCGGACCCAGTTACGGATGCCCAAGTAAAAGGACGTTGAATCATCCCCAACAAGACACGTTGTACTTCCGAGTGGAGCGTGCTCCCAGCTGTCATGAACCCCCAACCACCTTTCAGACACCCACGCAGCCCTGTTAAGCGGTGAAGGGAATGTCCCTCGCTGCCCAGGTGGTCTAGGCTTACATCAGGTTTGACCGCCTCCTGTGGTCTGCAAGGTTTGACCTTGCAGGTCTCAAGATCGATAGGTACGATGTACATTTTGCATTCAAGGCATGCTCAGAAGTACATCATCTCGAAACGAGACGGAGTTGAGTTAGTGTGGATATGTGGCACGACTTCGGCGTCCGGCAAACTATGCATCACGCGACGTCCCATCCATTTTGCGTCTATCACCCCATTCAAATTCCCATTCTTGTCGGAAATTTCAACCCTCCCAATCGAATTCTTGGGTTGTACATCTGATATGAGCACATCTACCCCCTTTCGGTATAATGTCCCTAGGTGCATGGTACCTAGCATATCGTACATCGCACGCAATATAGCGTATACAAGATACTACCTAGGTACTTGGTCTGCATTGCAAGGGGATCTACGGAAAGACCGTCGATGCACGGCTCAGTTTCTGGTCCTGATCTCCCCCTCCATCAGCCATTGCCGTTGGCTCCATGATTATCATTGCCGTTCCCTTTCATGCAGTCTCCGAGTACAACGTATAACGTCAATAGTAACCTCCATACAAGATATGCTGCATATATATCAAACCTAGTCTACACTAGACCTTCCCAAGCATTCGTCATCTAGTGTTACTCGTGCATCAAAAAGCGATCAGCGTGTAAGAACCCCCAATGATAGGTTTTATACAACCGCCCTATCAGCCCCTGGATATTGGTTGAAACGTGTCTCTTTGTTTTCGGGGGTACGCTTGCGTGGTGTTTACCTTGGTTACGTACTCTACACATAATGTCAGATGTATAAATATACCAAGTGGAGTTATCTTCCGAATCCGGCATCTGATGAGATACCCGTGGACCCGTGGACGATTTGCCTTATCGGAGCATACTTCCGGGTACGTCCACTTATGGGCAATGGGAGGTATCCTCCGATAGGAACGATAAGAGTAAACAAATAATGTCCCAGGTGGTTCCGAATCATCATCGACTATCATAGACTATCATATACCCCGCACGATCGTCATTCCATGATCATATCCGGGTGAGTTTTGGATGTGAATGTATCTTCCAAGGTTGTAATCAAAGTTCAATAATGGAAGTTGCCCTAATGGACATAAGTAGTGGACACATATGTAGTGGCTTATCGCTCCCGGTACAATATATACGAGAACATGCCAAGTCAAAAAGAGGGGTGAGATAATGAGGTGCCACTTCCCCGGATTCCAGTCTCAGCTGGTTTTCCTCGTATCTTACTAGTAATCTAAATCTACAAAAGTATGTTATAGTCTTTGTTACAATATACACAACTAGAGCCAGGTTTAATTGTTTTCAACTATAAGCTCAATGTGAGTTGAGACAAGAATACGTTAAAACCGGCACAATGCATATGGCTTGTGCAACTACGGAAGTACTCCCTATACATTTCCAGGACATCAACATGCATTTGCATTGCCCCATATACGGAGTACAAAGGGATCCCAGCCTCCTGTAGGTCTCTTTTTCTCCGTGTACGACTCCGCATTGCAGAAAAAGAAAGCAAAGATTAGAATTTTCAAGGTCGATGCAAGGGTCGTCATTGCCTGAGGCCTTTTTTCAAAAAAAAAAAAACTTCAGACGCATCATGTGTAAGACCTTTCATGCTGTGTATGTTTATGCTATGTCAAGTTCGTAGCCGTTGCCGAGTCAACATAAGCATGTCTCCCCTCCTTTTTTTTTGCCTTACATATCGAGTCTGTCGCCTTGTGAGGGGGGGGGGATTATATCGACGAATAGGCTACTACAATGTGCAGTATATCCCTCAGCAACCCCGTTGTTGTAGTTCAGTGATTGGCTTATCCGATGTCTTTTATGCTACCCGTGTTCGGAGTCCGCATTCCAAGTAGTCATCATCTTATATTAAGGTTGACATATAGTCATACCACCCGTGGACTCTTATAACGGTTAAGTCATGTTGTTTACTAGGTATATCCCAATAGTATGGGTGACACCATGGTATACATAGAAAGTCATCAACAAACCATCCTCGATCTCTTAATCCCATGCCACATTCCACAGGGTCCTGTCAACGTCATTCCTGACATCCCCCTTTCCGCTCAAGGTGGATCATTGTTACACTTAAATTAACGCAGAAATACAGACTGTAATATAAAAAAAAAATAACTAATTGAGTGACGTTGGGAGAGACCCGTTTGAAACAGAAATGAGTAATAGGGTGGAGACCACCTCAGGGCCCAGTAGTCATTTGCTTCTATTTACAGTATGGGAAGTTCGGTACTCACTGAGCTCCGCTTGCATCTAGACTCTGTGTTTATCTGATCATGGCAGCCTACTCGAGTTTGTGATTGGAATAATGGTTGTGTTGGGAATCGGCAAACGGATTATTTGGAGTTGGGACTAGTCTGATAGCGAATGTGACAAACATTGATATGGAGACAGGGTACACTGCCGAATTCACTACGGGGTACTCATTGACATGACGTGGATCTGGTATACATGGCCACGTAGGCGGATCACATAGGTCTG